GTAAATTGTACTACTGAATTGACGAATAAAAGTGGGATGAACCCACAAAAGAGAAAAAAAAAAAAGAATGCTATGCTAAAAATTAAATCTTAGCAATCTTAGCAAAATTGTTTACAGCAAATGGCGCAAAAGCAAACGCTACAATTATTATCATTACCATTAATAATTAAATAATGGTTGAGTGGAGTTGAATAGCTTGATGGAGGGAACTGTAGTGTCTGGGTTGCAAGACTACAATGATAATAGAGCAAGGCATTACTGATAAATTATAAATACCTCATGGTTTAATAGTCGGACATGTTAAATCAGAGACCGAATAAACACATATTGGCTTGAGCTGGAATATTGTTTATTGTCTTTACTTAAATGTGGTTTGTTTTAAATACGATTGCTATATAATATAATATACGACAGGAACCTTGCCTTCCAATCCCAGGGTAATTGATTCCGGTCACAGTAACAGGACTTTTTCTCATGACCAAAACAACTCAACTCCCTAAGGATCATAATGAGACTTGGTTTACTTAGAGGATCTTGTGTTTATATTTGTCTGGTAAAAGAGGATATGTCACTTAGAAAAGTGATGGAATGATTTCGATTTGGATTTCTTCTATGTGATACACACCAAGGATTATGTTTCCTGTTTGGCAGATCCTTGGCTTTGGGACTAAAACAATTAATAAAATAAAATAAAATACACACGCCTGCTAAAGTACCCTACGCACAACACAATTTATCATTTACCCATTGCACATCACTTTTGAGTATGATGCCATTCATTATATTATTGTTTCTATTAATCTTGTAGTAGCAAAATTTTATGCAATTTTTTTCTTCTGCCTTACCGCTCGGCCACTCGACTAGCCTCATGTGATAACTGTGTGGATGCTCTATCAACTGAGTTGCAGTATTTAATGTATGTTGAACCCCATTTGGTTTTCCCATTTTTTTTAATCAAAGGTATTGCACAAAATAAAAATATATACTAACATCTTCACTATTGATAAAGATGATGAGAAGTTTACAAGAACAATGTTGATTCCATTGATATTCAAATATTAAGACCCATGGGCTGAGCAGCTGACTCAGAGGTATTGTTCCTGGTTCTTGTGCTGAAGACCGTGGTTCAAACCCGGCCAGCATTAGCTTTTAATAGGAGTCTGATCACTTGGCAATCCTCAAAGATGGAAGAATTAATTTCCGGGAGATCTACAGTGGCTGATCCTGGAATTCAAACTCCCATGATTTCCAGGAGACTTGGGACTCCTGCTATCCTAACATCTAAGTACTACTTCACTGTAAACAACCTTATCCTTAGCTTATCTGTGTTCATTTACTACTGAATTATTCACAATTAGAATTGAGTTGAAGCATGTATAGTAGTAATTACTATGCCATTCAAAGATATTGTTTGTTTTTTTTTCTTATTTTGAATATTTTTATTGTTTTTTTTCAATTTGTCCAAAATAAAACAAATTTATATAAATAGAAAAACAGATGCTCTATTACCTCTTTACTTTCACTATTCAGTGTTTCAACTGCACTCCAGACACTATCATAGAGGGCGCTATTGAAATAAGACTCATTCATCCTGACATGTGAACTGGGTACTCTGCTTGGCTTGCTGGCTTTTACTTGGTCCATATGAAACCAGCGAATCCCTGCTTCTCGCTATAGATTTCACTGCAACAGAATTTTTCTGCTTTTGGTGTAAAACTTCTGAAGTTGACGCTTGTGTCTTTTGCTGGAAGAGCAGGAAAAATTGATTATTGCATACTATAACATGTAAATAAAAACATATCGGTTTTCATCTAATCAATTAAAATACTGTTGTTGTTATTAAATTTATATTCTATTTAATATCGGTAAAGTTCTCCTATAGTCAGTGGTGTATCTAGTCTAGAAATGGGGGAAGGGGCTGATGGGGGGGTGGGGTTGGAGTGGACAGCTCAATTAAGTGAGGAAATGTTAGTTTACAAAAATAAGGTGATTTATCTACTTGAGCATGATTTATTTTGCCTTGTACATTTTAAATGGGAAGGCGCAAGTTGTTTTTTTTTTTTGGGGTAGGGGGGGCATGCAAATGATGCTCAATGATGGTGCTACTTCCAAACTTGTCCAAGCATTAGTTTAATCTCGATTGGATTATTGCAATGGGGTTCTTTATGGCTTGTCCTAGAAACTGCTGAGAAAAGTCGAGTAAAATGTAGCAGCCAGACTCATTGCTTTCACTCCTAACCGTGGGCATACAGCACATCCCCAACTGTACATCGTCTCCATTGGTTACCCATTTATCTGAGAATTAACTTCAAGATCTTGTTATTTGTATATACTGAAAGTCACTCCATAAATCATTCCCCCACTACATCTCCAATCTTATTTCACTTCGTTCTGCTGTTTGCAGCCACAGACTTGGTCTACCCATCTTCACTTACTGTACCATTTATAACTGTCCCATTGGTCACCACAACTTGTGGCAATCGTTGTTTCTGGTTGCTGCTCCAAAGCTTTGAAAGTAACTACTGTACCTGAGACTGTTTGACTGTCTTCAAGTCTTGGCTCAAATCCCATCTTTTTTCTTTATTTTAATTCTGAATTTGATTCCTTTTCTTTTGATTTTTGTTTAAAGCTCTTTCTATTTTTGTGTGCACTTGGGCTGTGGTTTCTTTACAGAGAAATGATTTTGTATTATGCGCCTTATAAGTATATCACTATTACCATTTACCAGTAATGAAGTAGTGCAATTTGTGGATTACTATCAACTTTAATACTGGGTGTGTTTGTGGCTCCACAGCTAAGCCTATGTGTCTGACCCCCCTGGGGCTTCTGCCTTGCTGGGCTACTAGGTGGATTTAGTGGCATAAAATGCATCTCAACTGTTTCCTTCATAATAATTCTTAAAAGAAGACAACAAAGACTAAGAAGAAGATAACCGCCATGGAGTGAACCCACGTGTACAGTAATTGATAACGACTTCAATGTTTAAAGACTTTTTTCTATTAAGTAAAACTTACTACTGAAATGGTTCTTTTTTTTTTGGGATTTGCATATAGTGATATTTAGGTAGACCTATATATAAGTGCAAATAAAAAAGGTCTCTATGCTTTACCCATTAAAACACTAACAAAAACCTAACCTAAGTAAATAACAATCCCCCACCACTTAATAATATTTATTATTGACCTATTTTATCATCATTTTAAAAAAAATCTTTTGTTAGTCTACTTATTTTTTTACATAAAACCGACAACCTGCAAATATTACTACCATCCTATTATACATTTTATTGTTGTATTTTGTATTGATGTTGGCCAGAGGCTTAGAGATGACCACTTGATGTGTTGTTGAGCTTAATTCCCATGTCATTTCTAGTCACACCCCTGGTCAATATTTAAAGGTATTTGAGGAATCCTCTATTCATAAAAATTTGTTTAACTTTATAGGGAAGGGCATTTAAAAGGCAAATTTTCAACACTGCATGAACATATCAAAGGCAAGATCTTATTTTACCTGAGAGTATTTGTAAAAAATCAACTTAGCTTTTTGTTCAAAACCTGGACTGTTGATTGGCATTGGGGGGGGGGGCACTAATACATAAAATCAGATGTAACCTATAGAAGTAAGGGCAGGCATAGAAGAGGTTGGCTTATACCCCAAAACACTGCAGTATCACATGAATGGAAGAGTCTGTACACATACCTGTCTCTTGGTTTCTTGGTTTTCTGTATACACAATCTCCATTGAAGACCATTCCTTTGATATTAACATACGAGTAGAAATCATTATGATCCTTAAACTTGCAAATCATGGGACCACTATATGCACTATAAAAAAAATATTTTCATATTAAAATAGCAACCTGAAGAAGTTGATTGCATAAAGAAAAAGCTGGGTGTTCAATGAATTATATTTTGTGTATTAAAAGTGCTGTTTGATATAATTTTTACTGATTTAGTTCAGACTAACACAGTTACTCAGGGGTCTAAGTTGGAAGAAGTCACTTCCTGGAGATCAGTAGTATAAACATGTAAATATTAGGAATTTGCGTAAGATAGGTTTATTTTCAGGAGATTAGATTGCTGGCGATCCATGTGACTCTTGGAGATTTGGCACCCCTGGGCTACTACTACTACTGTACTACTACTAATAATAATAATAACTTCATTTAATTTAAAAAATTTAATTTTAAAACAATATCCAATTAAAATGATCACAGGTACTGTACAGGATTTTAAAAATATAAATTCACAAAAAATCAATACTCGATATACTACGATATAACAAGATATGAATTTGGGAAGACATCAAATTCTACATTTTTTTCTGTGCTTAATATCAGTTTCTGGTTTTACGGCTTTCTTTGCTTTTCAAGCTTTCATTCTAGTGTTGAAAGTAAAGTGATCAATGATACCTATAAGCTTGTAAATAAAAAAAGAAGCATTAAAATTTATTTGTAGACATGTTTCATTGCCAACCTAATGGGGTGAGTAATGTTTGATAATTAGACCTAAAATATAGGCACATGGGCCTTAGTTAAATGCTGTTGTACTATGTAACCAAACACAGCAATTGTCCAGTGCATTTATTAAATTACAATTTCAAAATTTTACTACAAAACACTGGTTATTCAAATGTGTTTGTTTGTGCTTAATTGAGTAGAAAATGTGAAAATAATAAACTATTAGCTTACAAAATATCATTAGAACAAGCAAAAAAAATAATTTCCATAACAAATCTATCATGTTAAGTAAATAGTCATTACTATATTACTATTTTCATTACTACTATAATTTGTGAGAATTATGATACAATACTTTATTTGAATGATATAAAATTCAAAGCTGCAATATATAATTAAAAATAAAAATATATAAATACATTTTTTTAATAATGTGTGTGTAATTGCTCAATAATTAATCAATCAGTCAGTTAATCAATAAATCAAAGCATACATGAATAAATAAATCATCAAAAAATTAATAAAAAATGTATTTTTTATTATATTATTACTGCAAATTTTGAATTACTAATTATTATATTACCACAAAACTCCTAATACGATAAAGGTATTGTTATGTATTATAGGCAAAATATCTTGAAGACTTGTTTTTGTAATTGTACAAATGATGTGACTGTACATGTTTTAATGCCTGAGTATTTTTCTTACTCTATAATTCACATTACACAATTCAAAACCAGTTGAATTGTTTGATCATCTTATATTGAGAGTTTGGTAGGTTAAAGGACAATGTTTGTATCCATACGTGTCTGTCATATGTTGTAGTTAAGTTGGGTGACTATGCACAGCAGCCATGGGTCCCCGTCCCAAATTTCCAATTTTGCATTAGAATGAGGACAAATAATTAAAATATTATTAAGATTTCTACTCTAACAAATAAGGCAAGAATTTTTTGAACGAACCCGCCGACTGCAAATATTGATGATTTAAAATAAAAATAACATTTTATTTCTTGCCAATTAGCATACCCGCCTTCACGAAAAAGTTGAAATTTCAGTAAAAAATAACAGTTTTTCTTTGATTTTATTACATCCTTCACTGCCACAAAATCTCCAAAGATAAGATATGTACATTTCTTTCTAATTATATAAATTTGAAACATTTAACCATCCTATTTTACATTCACCAATAACATTTTATTTTTATTTTTTCCTCCATCTGGATGATTTGGACAAAACTTGCTAAAAAAGAAAATAAATTTTATTTTTATTTTTATTCCGCGCTAATCCAATAACCTATAAACCTATAAAAAAAAATAAGTACACGTTAACAATAAGGAATAAAAAAAGTCTCGCCTAAGCTATGAGGCCAGGTTACAGGATTGTATCTAATTCTAGATGAGTACCTGTTGGGGAACTGCTCATGAAGACAGAGACCGCGATGGTTTTGGCATGTAAAGCAGAGTGCTGAATGTGGCAGAAAGATGGAGGTGCCAGACAAAAGACCAGTTGGACAGCCAAAGATGACAGGGCGAGCAGGTTAAGAACCTGATAAGAACCTAATTCTAATTCTAATTGATAAGAACCTGGTGGAAAAATGATGTCAAAATATGAATAAGTCTGATACTACTTTTAAGTACTCAAAAACTATGATGATGTCCAATACATGTCATACAGTACAAGACAGCCAAGAACTTTGACACCCTCAGTATAAGTTGGGGCCAAGGTGAGCAATGTTGTGTTCACAATTGGCCAGTGCCAACTGTCAGAGCCTTCCTGCCCAAAACATGTGTTCTTTTTGTCGTTTGATTGTCATCTTTAATGTGTGTTCTAATATCAATTAATTTTAGTAAAAAACCACATCATTGGTTTTTTCTATGTTTATTTACTATAATCACAGTTCAGAATTGAGATTTTAAGCATGTAACGGTAATACCAAGCTTCCAAAGATATTGTGAAATATTAATTAGGCTATTTACTTATTATTAAAAAAACATTTTGTTTTATGTATGACGACACTCCACTCAACTCACATTGCACTCTATATAAGATGTTTGTGCACCGTTCATTTATTTGTTTATTATTAACAATTGTTGCAGTATCAATTTCTCCAGAGTGAACCGTTATTAATTTGCAGGTTAGGGAAACATTCTACGACTGCTTTTAATGTGATGCTCTTTCAGTTTAGGTTAACTCCACAATAGTTACATAAAATAAAAACAAGACTGCAATTACATAAAAAGATAAAAAAAATGCTCTATTACCTCTTTACTGTTACTATTCAATGTTTCAACTGCATTCCTGATACTATCATAGAGGGCGCTGATCAGACTCATCATTCATGCTGTCATATATGTAGATGGGTACCCTGCTCTGCTTGCTTGTTCATCTGAAACCAGAGAGTCCCTGCTTTTGATCACAATAGACTTTACTGTGCTTTATCTTGCTGCAGAATTTCTCTGCTTTTTGAATTAAACTTGTGAAATTGATGGTGGTATCTTTTGCTGGAAGGTCAATAAAAAAATGATGATTAAGTGAGAAGTGTTAGCTAGCAGAAATATTAAAGGTGATATGAGGTGTTTTCTATTGAGCAGGATTTTTTTTTAATTTTTTTACAATTTCAATGGGGGAGGGGAGTTGGGTTTTTTTTTGGGTGATCATGGATTTTTTTTTTTTTACACTTTCAATGGTGGGGGGGAGTTGAGTTTTTTTTTTTGGGTGATCATATATACATTTATATTTTTTTGGGCTTCAGTATCTATTTGTATTTACAAAGAAGATAAACCCTAAATTATAAAAATGAAAATATTTTTTGAGAGGGGAATATGTACCTACCTGGTATGTTCCCCAGCTGTATCAGTGCAAAATGACTCTGGAATTCAGGCAATGATGAACCCAATGGTTTTGAGGGCCTAGAAGTACTTTTTCACTCAAACACAGGAGCTTTTTTAGCCACAACTTTCCTCGGATTTAACCCAATAATCATTGTGGACTTTTATATATAGGCACAGCATTACTATATATGGCCATCAATACTTTCAGATGACATCATCTCATGACCATATATAAGCACAGCATCACTATATATGGCCATCAATACTTTCAGATGACATCATCTCATGACCATATATAGGCACAGCATCACTATATATGGCCATCAATACTTTCAGATGACATCATCTCATGACCATATATAGGCACAGCATCACTATATATGACCATCAATACTTTCAGATGACATCATCTCATGACCATATATAGGCACAGCATCACTATATATGGCCATCAATACTTTCAGATGACATCATCTCATGACCATATATAGGCACAGCATCACTATATATGGCCATCAATACTTTTTTGTCAAAGAATATTTGATAATCTGGACAGGAGCTTAAGGCTGTGGATGACAGAGTAATGCACCTCTAAGGAGTGTCAATCAAACCTAACAACTGACCAATCAGAAGCTGTTATTCAACAGCCAGGAATACCTGCATGTGTCCACAAACAACCAAGAAGTATGTTTACACTATTTAAGGTCCCACACTATAGCAACAGTATCCAAGGGGTGGAGCTTAGTGGAACTGCCCTATCCTATGCTGGTCACATGATAATAATAATAATAATAATGTTATATTTATATAGCGCATATTGCACATTGCCCCTATGCGCTTTACAGAGAAAATATAGGCCAACTGAGAAAATGCAAATAACATTAAAATAATAACAATAAAATAAAATAAAAATAATAATCATAACAACAATAATAACAATGAGATTAAACTACTCCTACTCCTTAAACTAATTAATGGTTGGCCGTTGACTCCGAGGAGCTCATCTCATGATCTGTGGCCTTTGGCAAAAGCAGGGTAACTAGATTTCCTCTTTTGCCTAAGTGGAAGAATATTGATTTTTTCTAAATACTTTGAAACAAGTGTAAAATTCTCATTACAATTCAAACCCAAATCCCTCCCCCTAGGATCTAGTTGAGGAAAAACTTATGCACCCTGGGATTTAATTGTTAGGAACATGTGATCTCAGAGTAATGTATAATACGCAATGCTGAGTACTGTATTGGTCAATTACAAGTGTAAAAATGATATATCTATTATAATATGTACGATAACCATGTCCATAGATATGTACTGTCTGATAAGAAATTTAAAAATTTACACTTATATTTGATAGCACATTAAAGTGTATTAAAATGTTTTACAAACAGTGCATCATCACTTGTACAGCTAATTATGGTATGGTGAACTCATGGTGTACTCTTGTGCAAACATGCAGTCGATATTCAAATTATCTGAGGCAGAATTATACAACAATTAGCAATGGTAGTCACTTCTAAATCTTGATGTTAACAGTGATAAATGTGTGAGAATGTGGTGTTATGCAGACCTGGTTATACATGATGAATTTATACATGTGATTCTCAAATATTTGAATAATAAATGCTGAATGTATTCGTCAATTCCAAGTTTTTAAAAGATCTATTCTATTAATACATGATATCTGCACACCTTTGTCTCTAAATGCACTGTCTGATGAGAAATTACAAACAAATATCCTCATAAATATATTTCAGGGATTAGAATAGCTTGTTTTGAATAATCAACATTAGCATACTAAAGTGTTATTACAGGCTAAATGGTATTAAAGGTTAATACAGTAGCATTGCGTTGTAACGCTTCTACAGACTATAATAATTATATACTAGTTACCATGGTTTCTGTCTCTTGTTATAATATATAAAACTCACTGATAAAACATATCTTGACTGGCTTTTTGCTTGAACTTTGTGTGCAATTACATTGCTTGTATTCTCGTAGATAGATGCCATAATTATTTCACTAGCTTCTTCCACCACCCGTCTGGAATTTCCCTGAAAATAACAAAACAACGCTGTTCAGGTGGAGGTCACACATAAATGGGTTAGAAAACATTTGTAGATTTGGTAATCAATAAACCTAAATTCCAATTTCAGGGTCCTGGTTCAAATCATACAAATGCTTGGATTTGTGAATCTATGAGGCAGGTCATGCTAAAATGGACTAAGTTGACAGATATTACATGTATAATTATTCAAATTCAAATAATAAAAATAAAATACAGTAATAACAGATTAAAATTTCAAAAAAGCCACTATACAGTTCCAAATCAAATTAATTGTGTTCCAAGTCTTGCTCTAGAAATGATCAACAAACCAGTTATTTTACAATTTTTTTGTTAGTAAATTGCATTAAAAAACATATGCATGAATACACAAGATACAAGATACAAGATTCTTTTATTGTCACTGGTACATAAAATACAAGTAAAATTTGTCTTCCCGATGCAAAAATAAAATTAGTATAAAAGTTAGACATATAATAAAAAATTAATCAAGGACATAAATAAAACAGAAAATACAAAATGATACAATTATTTACAAGGGTAGATACTGAAGTTTATCTATTAAAGTCATCATTGTACATATGGATTGAGTTGTAAGATCTTCTTAATCTATTAGTATTGCACTTAATTGGACGTAAGCGACTGGATCTATTAAAGGTGTATTGCAAGAACATAGGATGTGACATGTCTTTAATTATGTTATCAAGCTTCTTCAGCACAGTTCTTGTATACAGTATATGTCATCAAAATTATCGACATCAGAGCCGATAATTTTACGAGCAGATTTCATGGTTCTGAGTATTTTATGTTTATTGACCTGAGATAAGTTGCTGTACCATAAAATACAGTTGCTAGCAAGTACTTAATATAACACTTTTAAAAAATAATAGTAATACCTCAGTGCTGACATTGAAGGACTTGAGTCGTAAAAAGTAAAGACGTTGATTAGCTTTTTTTTTCAGAGTAGCAGTGTGTTAGAGTTCCAGTTAAGTTTCGAGTCAACAATAATTCCTAAGTATTTATGTATATTGTTTCCAGTTACACTAATAGCATTTAAAGGCATTTTGTTTTGACGAAAATCAAATATGATTTTTTTAGTTTTAGAAGCATTTACAGTAGTTGGAGATAATTATTCTTACACCACGTTTCAAATCGATTAACACAATTTCTATAGGCAAGTTCGTCTCCCTGAAGTATTAGGCCTGATATGGAGGTATCATCTGCATATTTAATCATGATACAGTAGTTATCTTCAATTTGAAATTCGTTAGTGTATAGCGAGAACAAGATAGAGGATAGTACGGTGCGCCTGTATTAGTGTGTAAAATACCTGACTTTAAGATTACCATCCTAACTACTTGAGGCCTACTACAGAGAAAGTCGGTTATCCATAGCACAAGGTGCAGGTTGACCTGCATACGTTGAAGTTTATTAATGAAAATATGAGGTTGTAGGGTGTTAAAGGCAGAAGAGAAGTCAAAGAAGATAGAGCGAACATAGGATCGAGGTTTCTCAAGGTGAGTATAGGTATTATGGAGTAGAGTAATGAAAGCATCATTTACACTACGTTTCTTTGTGTAGGCAAACTGAAGTGGATCAAGAAGAGATCCACACTTAACAAGCTAGTGATGTTTTACAATAGATTCTAAACATTTCATAGGAAGAGCAGTGAGAGCAATCGGTCGAAAATCATTTAGAGACGAAGCAGTAGATTTCTTAGGAATGGGAGTAATAGAAGAGAATTTCCAGAGAGAGGGAACAGAATGAAGATCCAATGACCATTAAAGTAACTTGCAAAAAACATAGGAAAAGTTTGTTAGCGCAATGTCTTAACAAAGAGGACACTCCAACTGGACCAGCAGACTTGCCTAATTTAATCTTTTTGAAAAGTAACCTAACATCATGTTCATTTACAATAATGCGATCATTATCACTTAAACTCTTCTTGACCTCCGTATATAGCGTACATAGAAGCCAATTACTAATAATCATCTTTATCTTGAGTCTGCTGCTGTACCCGCTACTAAAACTTAAAATTGTCAATATAAATGGATGCATGGAAATTCAATTTAAAATTTCTGTACATAAGCAAGTATCTAAAATCAAACTGAACTTGACTATCAGTTACAGCCTCAAATTTGTTATAGCCATTCTGCCACAAAATACCTTGGTCAACTCCACTATCCCGCTCTCAGGGTAAAGCACCGACAGGCATGGAAATCCATATGACTTGTTTGAGCAGATATGTTAGACACCAGGATAAACAATCAGTCTGATCAAACCAATTTCTGATAAAATTAAAGTCTAGTTTTACCTCACTTTCGATGATCACCATCGCCAGATGCAGCTGACACAAGCTGCATCACTCCAGGGTCATTTTGCATCAAGTCGAAAAACGATGGCACAATGCAAAAAACAGGACTACTTCTGCAGCTAACAAACCACGATACTGACGATAACTGCAATAAAATATAAAACAAAAATTGCCAATAACATTATTGTATAACTAGTAGTCTGGCATTTTACACACAAGAAAACATATAATTGTGTTGCCAGAAAATCTGGATAAATCTTCAAGATAAAACTGAACTGAATTTTTAGGGAGAGAAACCATAGAAGACTTATTCAGCCTCTCGAACCAGCACCGATATTATGGTTGTAGGTTGCGGCACCCTGTCTTGAACGGTTAATCAACCGCTTGGCCATTCGACTTGCCACAAGTCGAATGGCCACACATGAAATAACAATAGTGCTATTTCTCTTCAATATACTGATTTTAATAACAAGTACTAGTACATATTACTTGCCATAGCTTGCTGACATCACACCCTAAACACTCAAACACCCCAATACAAAAACACCCCTTCCCCTAGCACCAACGGTGGCGCCGGAAATTTGCCGACAAGGGGTCCGACATGTCCGGTGGAGGGGTCCGAGACAAGAGGCTGACAAAGCCTCGGGCACTGGCCCGGAATAAAAACTCCCTTGTAAGGTTCACATGGAGTGTTTTTATGATTTAGTGGTCCATAGGCCTACTAAGATTTTTACACGTCAATATTTAAGGGATTGCCAGTCAAAATAACGTTACTTGGATAGGCAAATTATTCATGAGGTGTTTCTACCCTTTACCATGGAGGTATTAGTTTAGACTAATTCCTCCATGCCTTTACCAATTTTCCTGATTTATAACCATCATTTGGGACATAGGCCTATCTCTGGTAATTGCTCTTTAATTTTAATATACAGTAATCATAGCTTCTGTAATTTATTGGCCATGCAAGGTCAGTTATACTATAAGAATCTGTCATGAAGACCATCATCCTAGATAAAGTAACAAGGAAGCCAACAGAAGTATATCAGGGAAAGTAAAGAAAAAAAGTAAGACCAAGGTGACAACAATCAAAAAGTGTGTATATTATAATTATATTTTAGTAATTTCAAAATATAGTGTTTTTTAAACTTGGTGGAAAAAGACTTCTTAGAAAAGGAGAACGATTGCATAAGGCAAGCTAATTCCAAAGTTTAGATCAAGTATATCTAATTTAATGCTGGAAATGGTTTGTTTGTGGTGATATGGATATCAGATCTCTTGTACTGATACTTTTTAGAAGACTGTCAGTTACAGTAACACAGCTTGGGAATGAATACAATTTAACAATTTTACAATAAAATGTGGCAAGACAAACCAAACCAGTCACTCATCAGAAAAATCAATTTTTAGTTATTAATACAGGGTTATAAAAGAATAAAATGAAAGCTATACAAATGGTAAAAGAACCATTTAAATCCGACAATTTTGTGTTACAAAGTTACAAGAGTTTAAAAATCAGTTTAAAAAACTATATTTGAGAAATCATGCCTTCAAAGATTATGATTTCAGGCATTTCTCAGGCAGAAACCTCATAAAATCATTAAAAAGTTTTGTTTTAACATTGAAAATGGGGAAAATAGCAGCATAGCATGATATACAGATATATAAAGGTTAGTTTAGTGCAATAAAATAGATTTCAAAAATGTTGACATTCCAGCATGTTTCGGCCATTACAGTATCTCTGAAACAAGATTTGTGACCAGCGACTGGTTTGGCTTGTCTTTGCCACAGATGACAATAATTACTAAATACTGATTGAATATAATTGACATAAAATGATAAGTTATTAAATTTCCCAAAACTGATTGTTGAGTTAAATAGTGGTATATGCTTATCTTACCTTTCTAGCATTTTTATCAACTTTCACTGCACTCAACAATACAGAACAAATCTGACATCTTATGTCTCTTGGCAACAGAAAAAGCTGAATGTACAAGTTACTGTGGAAACATTTGTTTATTGTTTATTGATATTTTCCATATACAATACAAGATTCAATAGTAATTAATATTGTAATTTTTAAATTACACAATTTATATACAGTATTAAGTATAATGAAGTAAATATAATACCACTATATATTAATTACAATAAAGTAAATAAAATACCACTATATATTAATAACATTAATTTGCAAATAAGGAAATTAATTTTGATATTATAATTGTCAAAATATTCAATAATCAACATTTAGGTGTATCATGATGATCATTAGCATCTTGTCTCCAAAGCAAAGAGAGCATAAGGGGGTAAGTTAGCTGAGGCAGCTGAACTGGTGGTAGCTACTGTGATGCACAAATCTTTCAAGACCCTCAGTCCCTCGCTCAATTCGATCTGTGCTCTCCTTTTGTTTTACCTGGAGGACTGAAATTCAAGTTAAAATAGCGCAGGTTTTCGTAAAAGACATTTAAGATATTGGTCTTAAACACCAAATATAGTACACTCTTCAGAGAGGAGTAGTCAACTCACTACAAAAATGACACCTTGGAAAACAAGTCTCAGATGTTATCCATTCTAACAAATTATCACTTATTAATAATACATTACTTGGAAAATAGTAACATAAAAGTAAAAGTAGGAGAATAAGCCATAACTTGCAGCGTCATTGTGCTGAATTGTCATTGTGCTGAATTGTATATGGGTGTGGTTTGGGCGTGGTTTGTGATACTGGAGTACTGTGTAAATAAAAGAAAAAGATACACATCTAGTTGCACAAAGTGCCATGAGCAACACTCTTGTGGTGGATATACTGACTCTATATTAAAATTTCCATTTATTATTTTCTTAAAAACTGGAAGTGTGAGGTGGGACATCCCAAAATTTGGATGGTCTGATTTCGAATGACCTTTCCACTGTTCACAGGGCTTTGTTATTATGTCACTGCACCCTCACTAGGGAAAATACCCTGCAAGTTCATTATACTTCCACTTTGATGTATGTGTCTCCCTCAAATTAAAGACCTCCCCAATTAGAAGACACTTTTTGTGGTCTCAAATTAACAAATGTCTTTCATCTTTATTTTTTTAATTAGAGACTGAAGATCATGGAAACTGTGGTCCCAAAAGTGGTCTTTATTTAGAGGGAGACCTGTAGTTCAAATCCACTCACAAAAACTATCATTTTCTATCATTTTGCTTGTAGCACTGGGAGGCCATCAATGCAACAGCGCTTTGTAACTGTGCAATTATAATTAGCATATTACTAAATAAAATAAAAGCAATCATTTGAGCGTACCTTAGTTTGACAAGCTTTGCCTCTTTGACTGCTTCTTCCATGAGTATGGTCGACAATGAGAATTCCAGTGACACTACTAAGAGTAGCAGGACATAAACGTTCACAATCACTCAGCCTGCACTCAAGAAGCTTCTCAAGAAAGTTGCATGGCAGATTATCCTGATTTGACTGTCAGAAACAGAGAAAGAATGATCACTCTATAACAGTAGAACTAGCAGGGCAGGGAAGGGAGATAATCCCCAGCTTGAAAGAAACTACCTCCCCAACCCCCCCCCCACCTTGATTTCCTACAACTAAGTTTTATCGAGGTTTGTGGATTGAAGTGCTTTTTCCTTTGGAACCTCAGTGCTCTAAACCATGGCAGAGTCTAAAGACTCTATACAGTAGAACCCCTCAATTACGTACGGCACAGGCCCAGAGCCGTTCGTAATTGCGGGTATTCGTAAAATTGGGGTTGACCCAAATTTCTTACAGTATATGTTTACACTGGTACTACGTACACTGGCATAAACTAGGCCTCAGGCCTACACAGCTAAGTCTGAGGGGTCCTAGGCCTACAGTAGGCAGTTTCTAAGCATTCTGATCCCACTCCACACTAATTTTGTTTTGAATTTGTTTGTATGTTGTTATCTTCTTAAATACCTAGATTGTGGATTTTACTCCAACACAACTTCCATAGATACTTGTTATATATTGATCATTAATAAAACAATCCAGCACTATGTTGACTTTTAAAGCTGAAAATGATGATTAAAAGAGAAGTAAAACTTGTCGCATGCACATGTGTGAAGCCAATAAACACCGACTTTGAAGAGGCCAGTTAGAGGGCCTCCTTCACTTGAGAATTACATACTGTATAGTATGATATGTTGTTTTGTATGCGTGCTAATAACAGTTGCAATTCGAGCGGATTTTTTTTTTTTTTTTTCCACTTGCTTTTCACTTCACTTTTTATGACGTCATCACCTTGATTTAGGAATTCGTTAAATCGGGGTTCGTAATTGAGGGTTTCTACTGTGTTTGGTTGTGAGAAACTTCCTGACATTTTCTACCATGACTGAACCTAGAACCTCGCGGTTATGTAAAGCAAGCACTTTAACCACAAAAATACAGCTAAAATCCATTCATTATATTGTTAATATTATTCACAAATTCATCTAGGAACATACCATTCCATAAAACTGACCCACAATTTAATGTAGTTACCCAGCATTCACTGTAGTATTCCACCAGGAAGAGGTCTCGCTGTAGGTTGAATGCCAAGTATTTGATCCTGTGTATATCAGTGTCCACATTCAAGTATTCAACCCGCGCAAACTGAACCTATTAAATGTCTGATGGAATAAAAAGATAAAACATATCAACTGGTTTGGTAACAATAGTAACAAAACATCAATCAATTTATTTGGAAAATGCTATTGTTTTTAGGAGCGGCCATCGACTTGATGGTGCACCATTCTATAAT